TTGGAAAGAGCAGACTAAGACGCATTGAACTATGTGTATAGAACAATCTTTCTAAGGATTTTACATAAAACTTCAAAGAAAAATATCATGCTTCTCATGATCGCGATATTACTTCATTGATTTCGAGAAATGTGCTAAAACTGACAAACAAAGAGCTATAAAAGCTATATCAGAATGCTACTACTAAGATATCCAAATAAGTGGTGATGAAATTTATCACCTACTTTTTTCAACCGAATAATCGAAAAATATAAATTTTTATCGCATTTTAGTAGAAAAATTTCTTTGTTTTTCTAACGTAGAAGAAACAAACAATTGTTTGAAAACGTGTGACTGAAACATTGAAAGAAGTAATTAGGAAAATTTTCTATATGTAGTTCGATGCGTCGTCATTCGCTCTTGTGAAAGGTAAAACATCGCACCCATAACACTTGATTAAACGATTCTAAATATTCGAACTTTATATAACTTTAAAGATATTTCATCATTGATTTCAATAAATATTTACCAAAGATGAGAATCACTTGTGTGTTATGAATCATTTTATTTTCAAAGATGTCGATTGAAATTCGATTCATCTTTGTCGTCTCTTTCAAACCATGAAAACCATAACATTCTACCTTCCTTCTATTAAAAGATTTTCAAGAAAAATTCAATTAATATAGACATCAGTATTTTCAGCACATTCATGATAGGTAAACAAATCTTATGAAAAATTTTTCATTATGATATTAGTTGAAGCATCGTCAAATTATCATAGAAAATAGAACATTGTTTTTTTTCTGTCAAATCATAGTGAAGGAAATTATTTTCGAGCTTTTCGTTAAAGAATTATATATTCATTTTCCTACAGTTCAAGTAATTTCTATTATTTGAGGACAAAATATTTTTCTAGTGAATATTAGCATTAATATCATTAACTCAGAAAATGGAAAGAGTCTATTCCAGAACGTATAATAGAACATAAGATTATCCATCTGGCATAATAATTAACATAAAAAAGGGCAACTGGTGATGTTAAATATATCTAATATGTTATGTTGACATTGCAGTAACAATTATCTTTTCTGAGATATCATACTGTTGACTAAACATATCATTCCATCTGGATATCTAAATCTGTCAATACACAATGTATTTATTATATCTAAAGGCCGTTAAAAGTTCATTTAGATAATTTTAAAAATATTTTATCATGTTCTATACTCTATGCATTCATAGTTTATATTAAAAACTTTTGTCTCTCTTACTTTTCCTTTTTGAAAAGTTTCAATTAAATCAACAAAGGTACTTCTCTTAATTGGACTTTCAATATCTAGAAAAAAAAAATAAATGAAAATTATGATGCCATTAATTATAAACAAATTATTCGCTTACGTAGTCCTTGATAATTAGCTTCAATATGAATATTATCTGGATTTGTTAATTTTAAAAGTTCTTTTTCTTCTACATAAAAATAAATTGAATTTATTTATTTTTTAAATTCTTTCTTTGTGTTTCAAAGAATTTATTACCAAGTGATAATCCAGGTGTTTGAAGTAATTTCGTAATAGATGGTGAAAGTAAATCGGATGCTTTCAATAATTTTTCAAACATATCCCGAAGCTATGAGATACAAAAAGAAATTTTTGCATAATAATGTAATTATAAAAAAAAAATTAATTTTGTTTTAATTTATTACTTTTGCTTCAGTTTGTTCATTAGAATACTCAAGTTTTTCATGTATTTTCCATACTACTTCATTTTTTAACTTCAATCGAGCCTGATGATTACGAAATGCACCTTGAATTTTTGTTGCAGCATAACTGACTAAAATGAACAATACAATTATTTTTTTGTTGAATTTTCGTCTTCATTAAATAATAAATATTCATACATGATGATGATGATGATAATGATTGATAATACATTTTCAAATAAATCTAGTTAATCTAATAGATATGTCATTTAAAGTAGAAACTGAAAAAAAAAACAAAGACTTAATAATTCATTCCGATAATTTCAATTTTCTACAAGAAAAACAAAAACCAATTGATTTCTAAACGATGTAATATAGCTTAATTCTCTGAAATGTCAATCAATAGAATACTAAAAACAATCATCA